CCTTCATTGGATTTCTAAAAGCTGTAAGTCACATAGAAACTGATCGTCATATCTGTCTTGGTAGATTTTTTAAGTACTGAAGCTGGGATTCAAACCAGCTTGAGCTTCTAGGCATTACACCAGCATTCTGCAATCTTCCTTTTCATTATCTACTTCCTAGCCTCACAGACTCATATAATTTTAATAGCACAGATTTACTATGTATGTGTTTATGGAAGGCCTTCAGTCTTGAAAATTCTCTCTCCCTCAAAGCAATTTTTGTTCCCTTAAGGCTATATAATCCCGAATGCATGCAGTTCGAACCCGCCAGCTGCTCCACCAGAAAAAGATGGGCAATCTCCTGTGCAATTGAATGCCTCTGAAAATCTGCTGAAGGGTCACCTGTGGGTCAGTTCTGACACAATCGACTGGTATTCATCATCATTAACAACAACAGCAGCGGTGGTATAACAACAAGGGTGGTATTATGTGGCTTGAGAACGTATGCTGTAGACCACAAAGCTCTTCCCTCTGCTCATTCATTTAATCGACAGAGAAGAGGTGGATCTCAGTTACGATGAAAATGTTAAGCTAGATGCTATGAGGGCAGTTACGGTGAAAGGCCTAGTCTCTACCTGCCCCAGGTGTATAACGTTTGTTTTGTGCAACTATCTGGATGTCTGTGGTTCTATGATTTTGTCTCAGTCACACCTCTGTCTTCCTGACAGAGTACCAGTGTCTTTCCAGACAAGCTCTCCCACTGGATCAAGACAGCACAGATGCTGAGGGCCACAAGTTCTAAAGACTAGAGTTTTTCATAAATATATTCCCTGAAGGCTCTAGTCTTGAAACGGGCCCTTCACTCACTCTTTTATTTACTGTCAATTATTCTCATTCTTCTAAGTGGTATAGAACTGGTATGTACATTGCTGTACAGAGGTAACTTGCGGTTGCTGTGATGCTAAACACTGTGACACTGATGTGCCAAATGCGATAATGGTTACCTATGGTGGACAGTGTTGGATGTTGTTGTTAAGTGCCGCCGAGGCGCTTGCGACTCATAGCGACCCTACGTACAACAGCCCTAAACTCTGCTCTGTCCTGTGCCAATTACACTGTCTCTGACACTCCCATCCCGATTATCCCAGTCACTGAATCAATTCACCTCACAGAGGGCCTTCCCCTCCTGCACTGTCCCCCCACCCTCCCAAACATGATGTCCTTCTCCAAGGACCGGTCTCTCCTCACAACATGTCCAAACTTTGGACTTTGGACAGTGTTGGATAGAGCTTCCTAATTAAAACAAGCTTGGAAGGAGGAGTGGCATCCACTTGGGAAATGGTTTGCCTTTGGAAACTCTTTGAATATGGAGAAATGACCAAAGTTATACAAGTATTCAGGTCTTTCATTCATAGGGTTGGTATGAGTCGTCTATGACTCGACAGCACTTAACAACATTACTGTCATACCAAAAGGAGTCTCAGTGGCGTTAATGTATAATGTGTCAGGTTTCTCCTAACCAAAAGGCTAGCAGTTCAAATCTATCAGTATACCAAAGGAGGAGAAAGATGGGCAGTTTCCACTCATAAAGGTTTATAGTCTTGGAAACCTGATGGGTCATTATGAGTCAGAATCAACTTGATGGCAGTTTTGGGGGTTTTTAAATTGCAAAACAGGTTCATGCCAAGTCCTGGGGATATAAGGATGGGTTTCAGATTGTCTCAGGATAGAACTTCTTCACTAAAGGGGTCTTCACTGCCTTATAAAGAGTTCTAGTGGTGTAGTGTATTATGTATTGCACTACTCACCAAAAGCTCAGAGATTTTAATCCCCCCTAACTATACAACAGGAGAAAGATGGGCAGTCTTATAAAGACTTACAGCCTCAGAATCGATGGCTGGCTGCTGTGAGTCAGAACTCTCTTGACAGCAGTGGGTCATTGCTCTAAGCCATGTGCACGTGCCATCAGATTTATCCTTTTACAAACTAAAGGGATAAGAGGTTCTTCATCAAGCTGACTTTGTTTCTCGGGGAAATGGTGCGCTTGACAAGGTACAACGGTATGGTTGTTAAGTGCTACTGGTCTCGAGTAGCCAAGAATGGTGCCAAACATTTTTAAATGTAAAAGACAGCTTCCCCACCCACCCACACAAAGAATCGCCTGGTACAAGAGTCAAAATGGCTGCAAAATCAAGTTTTAAGTGGAAATGGTTTGCTTATGCATTTGTACCTCCTCCTCAACAGCTGGTTTTACTGATCGCCACAGCTCCAATAACTAGCACTTATACGAGTGTTCAAGAAATGATGCTGTTATGTGCCATTAAGTCAGATGCAACTCCGAACTGAGGTGTCCGATTCAAAAGTTACGAACAAGACACATAGAAAGTTTTAACAGTGATGTCAGCTCCGTTTCACGTCAACCTTATGTAATAACAAGCCTCAAGTGTGAAGCTATCCAAGCGATATTTCTCAAATTAGTTACCCCTCTGCTTGGTTTCCTTTTATTCGCTCTCTTACAACCTCACTCCAAAAGTTCTTCGCGGTATCTCAGCAGATTAGCCCTGCGATTCCCATCTATCCTCCGACTCCCCACCAGCTCAAGGCTGCCAGCCGTGATCTGGGGCGATTTTCTCACCACCAGGGACCGACATCAAGTAAAGGGGCTATTTTCAAGCCCCTCCGTTCTACCTCCTACCCCTCGGGAGCCCTTATAGTTTCTTCTACTCACTTTCCTCTTCTCCAGGCCTCCCATGGTTCCACGTTGATGGGCCTACAGCACCACGCGAGTAACACCACTTCCAACCTCACGTACCCGGTTCTGAGTATCCAAGGACCCCTCACGCCCCGAGGCTCTGCGGGCTGTCCAATTCAATGCCTGCAAAAAATCAACAGGAAAATAGGACTTTGATCTTCATATTTATAATTAAGAGCTCTTAAAAACACTTATGTTACTATTTGTAGAAGTTTCTTACCTTTGAGCCTAGTTGAAACAATTTAAAAGTTTAAAAGACGGTGGCTCTTTAGGCATTTCTATGAACACCCTGAAGATTGCTGGTTGATTTGGCCCCGTTGTATGCTGGGATAGAAGGGGGCGGAAACTGGGAGGCGGCGCAGCGCCTTCTGGGATACAGAGTTGATCCGTGAGCCGATTGCCTTGAGCTAAGTTGTGTTGTCTTGGTAACTGTTGCTAAGCATCCCCCGAATCGGTCGCATTTGTCTAAGAAATGGCTGCCAGCTGTTCGGTGCGAGGTGAGGCCACATTTCCCATCACTGCCGGCTTCCTCTCTTTTCATTCTTTCGTTTGCTTCTATGGAGACGAGACGAAGCAAAAAGCAAATCTTCTCTCGCAAAGTGGAGAAGATCCGAAAGGATGCTCACCTTTTCTGAGTCTTAGCAGGAACTGAAAAAAGATGAGTGACGACCAAGCTTGAGTTAGAGATCGGGCTTAACTTTAATTGTACATTTTAACACACTCTATGTGAGTTGTTTGTGCATGCGTATTATGTTCCTGAGGAGTGGATTAACCAATAAAGGTGTAAACACACACTGACTTGTGTTTACTTATTAATCTATAGTGAACAAATTTTAGGTGGATTTCACCACAAACACGAGTTTTACTTATTGATTTGTAGTGCACTTGTGTATTTGTAGTGTACTGGGAAAGTCTGCAGTTCGAACTCTCCAAATTACTGAGGAGTATGATGTCAGTTTGAGGAATAAGGTGCATCTGATTCAGGCCACAGTCTTTCCAGTCACTTTCCATGCATCTGAGAGCTGGACAATGAATGAATGGGGATGACAGAAGAAGAATGGATACCTTTGAGCTGTGGTGTTGGAGAAGAGCACTGAACATCCCATGGACAACCAAAAGAACAAACAAATACGTCTTGGAGAGGGAGTAGCCAGCGTGCATTCTGGAGGCAAAGACGATGAGGCTTGACCTCACATACTTTGGGCATGTTGCTAGGAGGGGCTATTCCTTGGAGAGGAACATGATGCTGGGAAGGCTGTAGGATCGGTGAAGGAGATGAAAACCCTTGACCAGGTGGATTAACACTGTGACTGCTGTAGTGGGCTCTGATGTGTCAAGAAGTGTGAAATGGCACCGGATAGGATGAGGTTCAGATCTGTTGTGTGTAGGGGTCACCAACAGAACCTAACAACAAGTGCACTTGTGAAACTGTTACAGACTAGTAAATAAGCATAAGTCAGCTTTACATACCCTGCTTATCAGATAATCTTGTCAAACGCATTGCCAACTCAATAGCTCACAGCTGAGATTGGTCATCTTTCTCCCACAAAGCCACTGATGGATTCACACTGTCAGAGGGGCTCAGCCTTTGAGGTTAGCAGGGCAACTCCTTACAGACTATGCTACCAGAGCTCCCCGTCTCTGTCAAGAATTATAAATTTGAAAAGAGACTGCGTAGGAGTGTGACATGGATTTGAGAGAGAGAGAGAGAGACGAACAGATATCAATTATACCTACAAATAGAATCTTTGATAGAATGGAAAAAACTGAACTTCTTCACTACAGAGAAGTAGACACAAGTAAGCTTGTGTTTCCCTTGCTTATTGGATAATCTGATACTGGTAAACTGGTAAATCTCAAATTATACCACTGCCTGGTAGTGTATAGTTTGATCAAAGACTTGAGTCTTTATTATAGATTTATCTCAACATCGAGAAGTCAAAAATTCTCACAACTGGACTAATAAGCAACATTCTAATAAATGGAAACAAGATTGAAATCGTCAGCTATTTCATCTTACTTGGATCCACAATTAGCACTATTGGTACTAGCAGCCAGGAGATTAGGAGATGTGTTGCATAGGGAAAGTCCACTGTCAGAGATCCCTTTAAATTACCGAGGAGTAATGTTGTCAATTTGAAGACTTCAGTGCACGTGATTCAGGCCATGGTCTTTGCAGTAATTTATTATGTGTCCGAAAGCTGGACAATAAATGAGGATGACAGCGGAAGAATCGATACCCTTGAGTTATATTGTTCTGAATAGCTTATAGACTGCCAAAAGAACAAACATATGTCTTGGGAAAAGTGCAGCCAGAGTGCTCCTTGGAGGCAAGGATGGCAAAGCTCTGTCTCACATACTTTGGGCATGTTGCTTGGAGAGACTATTCCTTAGAAAGAAACATCATGCTTGGAAAGATGAAGGGTCAGCGAGAAAGAGGAAGACCTTCAACGAGATGGATTGACACAGTGACTGCAGCAATGAGATCAACTATATCAGAGATAATAAGGATTGCACAGGATGGGACACGGTTCAGATCAGTTCATAGAGTCGCTATGAGTCATACTCCATAGCACCTAACAACAGTAATTTTAAATAAAGCCAAAAGAAAAATCCTGCAATTCCACCAACAAAGGGGTAAAATAAAAGCAAGAGAGAATTGAACTAAGACTTTGGCAAAGAGGTCTGAAGAAGGCAAGGTCAAGTGCAGCAGATGACAGTATTTCAGGAAGGTCTTCAAGTACAAAAGGAGATGGACTGGCAAGAAGGAAGAGTCAAGAGAATAGTCAGACCACAGTAAAATAGCAGGAATTCCTTGGGGAATGATATTATGCTTGGATCAGCACAGTAACCGCAACAGTGGGTTTGAGCATGGAGGTGGCGTATATATAGACGCTCTAAAAATACCTATAACTGTCAATGCATCAGCTCCCAGCAAATAGCTTGCAATACAAGTCTACTATTTAAAATGATCATATCTTTTCCTTGTTCAACCCCAACTTCTCTCCAAGTTGTAACTTTCTTTTCAGTGGTAGATCCATGGTAGAGACTTCTGAGATTACACTGCATATACCGTTTGAGAAATAGCTCCTCCTGTCTTGTTAATTCGTCCCTGTAGTGACAATACCAAAAGTTGAAATTTGGAAATGTCAGTTATTGGTTGAATTCTTCTGGTCTCATCAAGTAAAAAAATTATATATAGACCCAACAACATTTAATTGTAAGTATAAAATGGTATATCTGAGATTTAATCCTGTTGTCGTTGTGTACCATCAAGTCATAACTGACCCAGATCTGACCCTCCTGCAGCTTTTCTGAGGCAGTTAGTTGCACAGGAGAAGACTGCTGATCCTTCTCCCACAGAGCAGCTGGTGGATTCAAAGTGCGTGTCTTTGGGACTGCAGGTCAGCTTCTTACCGCAAGGCCACCAGAGCCCCATTTTTTCTTTGATACCACTAGAGATCTAGCCCTAGTGGTATCAAAAACATGTTATCCGTGGTATCAGACCCCCATGTCAATCCTCAGTAGTTGCACCAGCTTCCCTAAGGCTGTATGGAGATATGTATATAACTAACTGAAGGAAGAACCATGAATTTGGGTATGAATGGGTCAACTCATTACATAGATGAAACTCCTACATAGCTATGTTACAGTCATATCCAGAGTGATCGTAAAGAACACTGGAAGTTGAAAAGCTTCCTAGTGGGTAGAACGGCAAGTGACTGTCCATTTTGCATGAAAGAGAAGAGACCAATATGGGGGAAATTAGATATGTATTTAAGAATGTTTTTAAGGTTCTGCTTAGGAAGACCAACATTTGACATTGTTTGCTGAATTTGCAAGTAGATACATGTGGTCCAGTGGGGTGGACTGTTTGTTGTTATTTGCCATCAAGTTGCATGTGACTCTGAGCCTGCACTATCCTGAACCATTCTCAGACACACCTATTCCCATTATCCTGGTTACTGTATCAATCCATCTTACCTGGGGTCTTCCTCTCCTGTGCTGTCCCTCCACCCTTCTGAGCATGATGTCCTTCTCCAAGGACTGGTCCCTCCTAGCCACATGCCCATAGTATGTGAGAGGGAAGCTTTTGCTCATGTAACCTCATCCTGGTATTGCTCCTTAGAGAACCTGGACTAACACAGATTTTTGACTCAGAGATTGTTTGCAAAGTTAACACACACAAGTAACTAGCATCTCTGAAACTTCCTTTTAACTATATTTCCTTCCCGTTTACCTTCTCAGAGAATCACTAACTTGACTTTTCATCTCATATATTATTTTGCCTGTTTTTGAACTTTATATAAAATTATATCTCACAGCACATGCTTTGGGGTTCTCTAGAGAAACAGGACTAGTTGCTACTGCTGTTGTTGGTTGCCATTGAGCCAGAACTGACTCATAGCTGACCCTCCAGAGGGTTTTCAGAGGCAGTAAACTGCACAGGAGGAGAGATTGTCCATCTATCGCCCACTGAACAGCTGGTGGATCCAAAATGAGTGCCTTTGGGTTGCCAGTACAAATTCTTACCACTAGGCCACCATAGCCTTCTACAGAACTAAGAGATTATATATATAATGAATATAAACACTCACACATAGAGATACCTATGTGTCTATATCTATTTCATATATATATATATCTATATCTGTGTCTATATATATCTTTGTTGTGGTTTTGTGCTGTCAAGCAGACTATGACTTATAATGACCCTACAAGCCATGTCTCTGAAAGCTTGCCCTATCCGGAGCCAATTTCACTGTCTCTGATACACCTGCTCCCATTGTCACAGTCACTGTATCAATCTTTCTCATTCAGGATCTTCCTCTCTTGTGCTGGCCTATCTTTTCAAGCATAATCTCAATAAATACATATATCTTCTCTTCATTTTTCAACATATTTAGGTTCCAAAGACCAGGCTGTTATAAAAAAAATAAGAAAAAAAATGACAACAACAGATTACAAAATGAAGGATGACTACATCAAATCACAAATGGGAGATTACTACATCATTACATAACTGCCAAATG